CCTCCAACCTATATCCCGCCAACCTATATCCCACCAACCTATATCCCTCAAACCTAGATCCCACCAACCTATATCCCGCCAACCTATATTCCACCAACCTATATCCCGCCAACCTATATTCCACCAACCTATATCCCTCCAACCTATATCCCTCCAACATATATCCCACCAACCTATATCCCTCCAACATTTAACCCTCCAAACTATATCCCACCAACCTATATCCCTCCAACCTATATACTTCCAACCTATATCCCACCGACCTATATCCCTCCAACCTATATCCCTCTCCAACCTATATTCCACCAACCTATATCCCTCCAACCTATATCCCTCCAACTTATATTCCTCCAACCTATATCCCTCCAACCTATATCCCACCAACCTATATCCCTCTCCAACCTATATCCCTCCAACCTATATTCCTCCAACCTATATCCCTCCAACCTATATCCCTCCAACCTATATCCCTCCAACCTATATCCCACCAACCTATATCCCCCCAATCTATATCCCTCCAACCTATATTTCTCCAACCTATGTCCCTCCAATGTATACTTTCTATCAATCTAACATTAGAGCCAATTGTTTTAAAATAAATAGTTGTCAAAATTTGTGTAATAATAATTTTAACTGGTAAATGTTAAGAATATGTTGCATATCATATTCAAATTTAAATGCCCGGGTCTGATAGTTTTAATAGTTTAAAAGTTTCTGTATATCAGAATTTGAGGTTTTCATTATTATCAAAGAAATCATGAAAACTAATTACAAAAAATATTTTCTACCTTTGCGCCAAGCTGAAATTGTACTTTATCCGGCATGTTTGTATATTTCTCCGTTTTTCAAGGTTTTTATGAGAGATCTGCTCTGGCCTAGAGCTGAAATACAACTGATGGACCAAGGAGGCTTTCTGACCGTAATATGCCAATTAAAAGTCTAGATCATGCACACCGATGCTGATAAGGAGGAAGGGACATAATGCAAATACACGATGAAACTGGAGAGGGGGGGGGGGGGGCTAGATAGTACTAGGAGATTAATAAAGGAATTGATGCCTCTCCTAAAACACCAATTTACTAATCCTCACATCTTGAAGGCCTTATGTCATAGAACTTTAATTTTTAAAATTATGATTTCTGCTAAATAAAAAAGTAATTTACAAAATTTTGTCTGCCATTATTGTACAGTGAAACCCTTAATAACGAGTACATCGAAAGAATTCATCAAATGTCGTATTCTTCACTTTCTGATAATGGAATGTTGCAGATATTTGGTTCTTTAATTAAATTATTATATGGAACTCTTTAAAACTGTTCCGGCATATTCATGGCTATTTATTTATTTTCGCAAATACTGAAATTTACGTAATATAGTATAAAACTCATTGAAAAATAGTCAAGACGACATTTGATAAATTCTTCCGATGTATTCGTTATTAAGGGTTTCACTGTACTTTCAAAATTTCCAGAGACAATAGAGAATTTTGTTAAAATTTCAATTCAAAACCAAAATTGACCAATTCTTAACGAAATTATATCCGGTATTTATGAAAGCACAAAAAAGCAGACATATTTCAGGTATGTGTTATATGAAAAATATTGCTAAAAATCTGTTAAAAAATATTTTTTTTAATCATTGCGCATACATTATATATTTATACATCCTAAATGTTAATTTCACTATATTAACATTTCTTAAATTATCTGAGTAAAATTATCTGCGCGAAGCGGCAAAAATTTGTTTATATTTTTCCTCTTAATGGTAATCATGGACATGGAGAATGGAGATCAAGTTTCTAAACGGGGATATTTATGCCCCCAAGATTCGGGTGGGGGGGGGGGTAAAAACCCCAGGATTCTGATTCTATGGGATACTTAACCCAAATAACCCCCCTACAAACGCCTCTTACCAATGCAAACTATTTTGAAGATTAAAGATCTCTTCACATTATCATAATTGTTAAAGAATCCCGCTTCCATAAGAATTTCACTCTAGAAAAAATGGACAGATAAGAAAACTGCAGATAACAAATCTAAAGATTGTCTCTTTAATTACAAAATTTTACGGGTCTTTCTTACAAATATTATTGTTAACAAAATAATGAAATAACAGATGGGTACAAATTCATAATTCATGCAAATAACAAATTAAATATCCCTTTTATATAAAAAACGTCTGCCAAAAATCTTATAATTACAGGGTCAACGAAAAATCTATTTCTGGTTCAAAAAGTGAACAAAAATGTATTTAACTTTTTAAAATCCTTCTTAGAAATAAAAAATACTCGCTTTAATGTGCAAAAAAATCATATTTAATTGGTCAAAAAAATTCCAAGGTTCGACTATCTTGAACTTAATGATGGTTCTAGTTTATCAGGCGTGTTTCTATCAGATTTTGAGGAAAATTATCCAAATTTTCGAACTCTGGAAATTTTTACTTTAATGTATCTAGGTCAAAACTAGATATAGGCTTTCCTGTTTTTTTTTTAATAAATAAACGTCAAAAATGTAAAGAAAGATGACAAACTTTAGCGCATAAACCTTAAATCATTTAGTCTGATTTATAACTGATTCATATTAATAAAAAAATAAACGCAAAATAACAAAAGACATAATTAAAAGATTAGCGTTTTCCACCACAGAACAAATTAAATATCTGCCCTGTATTATTACAAATTAAATATCTGCCCTGTATTATTACAAATTAAATATCTGCCCTGTATTATTACAAATTAAATATCTGCCCTGTATTGTTACAAATTAAATATCTGCCCTGTAATGTTACAAATTAAATATCTGCCCTGTATTATTACAAATTAAATATCTGCCCTGTATTGTTGCAAATTAAATATCTGCCCTGTATTATTACAAATTAAATATCTGCCCTGTATTGTTACAAATTAAATATCTGCCCTGTATTATTACAAATTAAATATTTGCCCAGTATTAAATTAAATATCTGCCCTGTATTATTACAAACTAAATATCTGCCCTGTATTATTACAAATTAAATATCTGCCCTGTATTATTGCAAATTAAATATCTGCCCTGTATTATTACAAATTAAATATCTGCCCTGTATTAAATTAAATATCTGCCCTGTATTATTACAAACTAAATATCTGCCCTGTATTAAATTAAATATCTGCCCTGTATTATTACAAATTAAATATCTGCCCTGTATTAAATTAAATATCTGCCATGTATTGAATTAAATATCTGCCCTGTATTATTACAAATTAAATATCTGCCCTGTATTAAATTAAAAATCTGCCCTGTATTATTACAAATTAAATATCTGCCCTGTATTATTACAAATTAAAAGTGAAAAGATAAAACTTGTAGAGTTTAATCTAAAGCAAAAAAGAGGAGAAATTAAAAAATATTAGTAACAAATATTGATAAAATTTGCATAAAAGTTTGTAAGAGTAACATTTTATTCGATTCTTTCATATATGTTGAAGCCCAACCCTAGTCAAACCACTTGTTTTTTCAGATACAAACGAAGATGCGCAACCGATAATTATAATTTCAAATTTCTAAAACTAGAATCTAATTGTTGTTCGTCAGCTTAAGGCCTTGTTTTTAAAAAATTTTACCTGAGGCGCAATCTAGGGCTGGGCATCGTTCCTGGGGAACGATCGATCATTCGCGGGATTGAACGGAATAGAACAAACGATTTGAAAGAACAGAAACACGCCCAGTCCTACGTGCAACTGTATATTTGTAGGGGGGGGGGGGGTGTTACAATTTCTGTTGGTGGTGAAATTTGTTTCGAAATTTATAGTAAAAAAATACCCTGATATTTTCCCCTTTTTCGACTGTACAATCATGGTTTTAGAATGTGTGCGGGTGCCTCCCACACACTTTATGGTACACACTGCAACCCCCCTCCTCCCCTATAGTTGCGCTTTTGTTATATGAATCTGTATGATATGGGGAGTGGGACATTACATAAATATGGCTTTGATAGCTAGTTCGCGATCAGCGTTCACGACTGTCTCAAATATTGCATTAGATTCAATGGAGCATGGCTTGATCTTTAGTCATTAAAGGGACTGTAGGCGTAATTTCAAATGACCTTTGATTCTAAAAAGGAACATTCCTGATTCACAACGGTACGGTAGATATCTTTGTTTTTCTTCCTTGAAAAGTGTCATTTTTTACAATGTTCTTCTTTGAATGTGAAGCCTAAATCTTAAAGTACTCTTGTTTTAATAGTCATCGTTTACTTAGAAAAAACATGAATATATCTTCGACTTTGATCGGACAATGTTTTAAAGAGTACTGTTGTGCATCAGACATTCCATTCTATGAAGAAAAGGTCACGTGATCTTAATTCTAAATTTAATCGATTCAGAAAAAAAACTGAAAAACTTTTACATCTTCAGAAATATTTTAAATTTAAAAATGTTTTGAATTATCATGAGTTATCAATTAATTCCTTGCAACGATTTTAGTTGTCTGCACGTTGTACAAATTTTATGAATAATTTGAATATTTTATTATTCTTGTAGAAACACAGACAGCAAGATTAAAAAAAAGCTGAGGCGTAAATACATAGAAAGACCCGAAGTACAATATTCCGTTCATAATTTATAAAAATACAGAGAAAACATTAATTGTCGTCTTTTCAAGATTTAAGGGTTTTTCGTTCACAATAACCCTGTTGTAGAAGCCCAAAGGAGTTACGCGCAGCATGGACTCTCTCTCTCTCAGTGTCTTGTAATTCAACGCGGCAAACGCGTAACTCCTTTGGGATTCCATTAAAAGCCTAGCATGCGAAATCTGTAAAATCTATTTGATGCGGCGACTCTTTATTAGACTTAAAATTTAAGTCAAATTTTTTCTTTATTTTTAAAGATATTTGTCTTTAAATAATTGAAAGCACTGAAGAATTATCAAAGTTCAAAACCTACATATCTTACTTTTCATGCTATCCCACTAAGTGGTGTCCCTAACCCTAATTTAGATCTAGGGCTATGGTCCACTTTCCTTTCTTCCTCTACTTGATTTCTTCCTTGTCAACAGAGGCTGTTCTTAGGTGTGTTCAAAATCTAGAATTATGTAAAGATTGAATTACGGAATCACAGAGAATTTGCCAAATTGTAATGAGAAAATTCACAATTTCAAGCTCTGGTCTAATTTTTAGGGAAAAGTTCTTTAAATCCTCTAGTTTCTTTCTCCTTAGTATATGCTAAAGTTAAAAATATACGTTGTTCAGCTCAAAATTGAAGAGCCATTGAAAAACAACTTTTCTTTAAAAATGAGACCAGAACTGAAAATTGCGAATTTTCTTTAACAATTTGCAAATTTTCTGTGATTCTGTTATTTGATATTTACACAAATTTTGAATTTGATATAAATAGTATATATACACATTTTTGCTTTTCTGAACTTTAGATTTTGAGAGAAATAGTTTCGCGAATTTTTTTGGGCCATTGGAATACCAAAACAAAAAATTCCCAAAAACATTGAAAAAATAGCATACAGGAGAGTTCCGCAAAAATAAAGTACAATTTTGCACCAGACACCGCTAATCACACTATTTATTACTCACCCTGTAAATTCCAACAAACTTGAAAAAATTTCAAATTTCGGCCTTCCCTTTCAAAGTTTTAAGGGTCAAACTGTATAATATGTTATTATTCAAATCTTTTTATTGATCAAAAAATACATAAGTAACAAAGTAAACTTTATATATATATATATATCGAAAACACGTACATTTTGATTTTAGTATTTTACATAGGGTATCGTTTATTTATGTAGAAATCGTAAATATTTGATAAATGACACATTTTTTTATGTTTTAATTTTAAAGTAAAGTAAATTCAGTAAGGACAGTTAAGTAAGCTGGCAATATTTAATGAGAGCTGTATAATATGTATTTAATAAAAATATAAAGTTTATGAGCATTCTCAATTTTGGCGTAAAAAAAGTATTTTTAAAATATTGGTTACCCTCTTTAATTATTTACAATTAAGGAACATGTTTTTTTAATGAAAATAACACGTCTTAGATAGGCATGAAAGGTTGTCAGAGAAAAAGGATTTGGAAAACAAAATGAAATTATTTTTGAAAACTCTTTTTTCTATGAAAATAAGTTCCAGGGCCCAAAAGGTTATCAAAATTATGTGAAGTACACCTGCAGTATGGAAACAGTGCAACAAAACGGCCGTTTTACACATTTTTTGAGTTAATTCCTTGCTATCCTAATATATTCTCTATTTTTATAGGGGTAGGGTACATTTGACCGTTTTCTGAGAATTAACAATTCTGATTATTATTCAATAGTTGGTCTGTCAGTTTAAAGTAGGCATTGAAGAAGGAGGTATTAAAACATAGAGAATAGAATATTCTCTTTGTATTAAAACTAGAATTAAGTTAATTGTATATTTTTGAAAACATAAAATTGATTTCTTTACGTTAAAAAAATCAAAGTTGTTGAATTCTTAGTAGGCAATAACTTGGTTCGTTTTTTCAAACTTCTCGGGTCTTTAGAAATTTTTTAAGTTCCCAGTAAAGTTGGCGTTCTCCCTATTAAATCCTTGCTCACTAGTCAAATCAAGGTTTTTAAGATAAAAGTAATTGTACAAAAAATCTAACCTTTCAGGGTTCTCCCATGGATATCTTAGGTAACATGATTCATATGATTCATGAAGAAAACGAATTATTTGGTGTAAAGCCTTAAAAGATAATTAAGTATTATGGTTTTGCCCTTGTCCTCTTTATACAAATACTCATATAATAATAATTCCGTAGTCCTGTTTTTTTGTCAAATGCTTATAAAAACACCAGTTAAAGGTCTAAACTGAAGAAATAAAACATAGGGTCGGATTCTGCAGTAAGGCTGGTATGTTTGCACTTCTTGCAGTATTGTCTAGCTTGTATATTTCACTCAAAAAATGGCAAAACGTACCTGACAAGGCATAATTTTTGATCATTTTAAATTGTTTTATGCTCAAGATAATATTTTCAATGCTTATTTCCCGTGATATTCTACCATTTTTCGAGCTTTGAAGAATAACACTTGAAGAATCCGACCTTATATTTTATTTGTTAAGTAGACCTTCAAATGGTGTTTTTAAGAGCAATTGTTAAAAAAAATGGGAATACGTAATTATTAGATGAGAATTTACATAGTAATACAAGGGCAAAACTAAGATACTTTAGGATGTACACCAAATATTTCGTTCTCATCGTACATATTTTACCTACGGTACTCGGATGCTTAGGATAATATTTTTGCATAGCTTAAAAAAAGCAAACTGTTACAGAATAGAGTTTTGAAATGCTTTTACCTTCACAAGTTGACAGTACTTGTAGGGATGTTAACGTTTTCATTTTTCAGAAAACGATCGTTTCGTTATGAAAACGACGACGAAAAATCGAAAACGAAACGATCGTTTTTAAAAACGATCGTTTTTATAAAATTCGTCGTTTCGTTAACGATCGTTAACAACGACCCTTCGTTAACGATCGTTAACGACGGACCTTCGTTAACGAAGAGAGGAAACCGACCTGAAGGGCGTCTGTACTTATCATTGAGTAGTTTTTGAGAAAATATCAAGGAGTTTTAACTCCCCCGCAACTGTTAAACTTCATGTTAAGACGACATTCAATAAAGTTGCATGTAATTCTTTTCCAAAAACGACCGTTTTGATAAAGTTCGTCGTTTCGTCAACGATCGTTAACGACAACCCTTCGTTAACGATCGTTAACGACAACCTATCGTTAACGACGACCCTTCTGTAACGATCGTTAACATAATTGTAAACAAAATTTTTTTTCAAAAACGATCGTTTTTTAAAAACAATCGTATAAAAAACGGTCGCAAATCGTTTTAATAAAAACGATCGTTTTCAAAAACGATTGCTATTCGTTTTCTAAAAGTTCAAAACGAGTGGGTCGTTTTTAAAAACGATCGTTTTTTTCCGGAAACGAAACGATCGTTTTTGAAAACGAAACGAAAAACGATCGTTTACAAAAAACGATTAACAACCCTAAGTACTTGTATATTGCAAGGTCCAACAAAGTTTTAGATAAAAAACTATATGTGAACAATTGTTCAGAGTTTTTAATAAACTTAAAATCTTCCAAATAACCAATTACAGAAAAAGAATACTAAAATGCGAGATTTCTCCGTTCTTTAGTACTTAACTACTTAACTTAAATACAGGGTGTCCCACGAAACATGACAGTTGGTATAAATAGTTTAGAATGTCTTCTTCCATAATTTGATAAGTTTTTTAATACGAAAGACAATAATAAAAATGTTATTTTGGAGTCATATCATAGTAACATTAATTTCAAAGGAAAATATACTAGAGCAAAAGATTTTTTAAACGAAATAAACTGCAAATTGCCTTTAATATCTAATACAGTGTATGAAAGACGACATTCAAAACTATTTATCAACTGTCATGTTTCGTGGGACACCCTGTATTTAAGTTTGGCAGTTTGCTGAAATAATGATTTCTTGCAGAAAGTTATTTAATATATTTATTTATCTATGATTTTTACATTATATTATTTAGATCTAAACATATATAATATAAAAAATATTTCAGATTGATATCTACAAAAAACATGAGTGCATCCCTGGCTCCGAAACTATCATTTCAAACTTTCAAAACAGGTATTTTTTAAAATATCTAAATCTGACATTATTTAGAATATTTAAATATTTAACAAAACATCTTTTTACAACAATTTCCTCGACTTCATCAAAATTTTAGATCAAAGTTGTTATTGTACAGGGTTGTATATATAATATTGTATATTTTATTGATATTTATTTCCAAAATTGGTGGATCAATGAAGACGACATTTTAATTTTAACCAGATGAATATATATAAGAATCGCGAACATAGATTAATTAAGAATAATAGAGAGGACAATAGATGTCGTCTATTCCAGATTTGGATGAAACTCGTTCTCAATAACCCCAAGAGCCCAGGGGATTTTCGCGCAATTGGCGTAGAATTACAAAACAGAGAGCCTGTTCTACGCCGACTGCGCGAAACTCCTCAGGGTTATTGTGAACGAGTTCATACAAATATTGGAAAGACGATATCTAGTGTTCTCTCTGTTATTTTTTATTAATCTATGCTCACGAGCTTTTCTTCTCATATATATTCATCTGGTTAAAATTAAAATGTCGTCTTCATTGGTCCAGCTTTGGAAATAAATATCAATAAAATATATTAGTAAAGGAAATAAAACAAAAGAATTAGAGATAATATCAACAATATTAAGATAATAATAATAATAATTATTATTATTATCTGATCTTTTGTTCTAGATTATTGAAATATTTCTAGTAATTATTTGCATGATAATAATAAAACATTTAAAGTAAATACTTATTTATAATTTTAATGTTTAGTTGATAAAACTGTTGACTATGCCAGTATGGTGAAGAAACTATCCAGTTTTCAAATTGAAAAACTCACATTCTTCTTTAAAGCATTTTTCGATGTAAACAGAGATGGAATTGTGAACGTAAGTTTTAAAAAAATATCATTTATTTTTCAGGAGTCAAAAGAAATTAATATATTATTCGAACTTTTAAAAATCCCATCATACCTAAAAATTACTGTCCAAGATTCATTATTTTAAAATGAATGGATGTTTTTCAAAGTTATGAAAGATTTGAATTTTTAATACTTTATAATATTACTTTTATGCAGGATTCTGATTTCCGCAGTCTGACTGAAAAGCTTAGAAAAATTGCAGGTAATTTTTTAGCAAAAATGTTTATTCTACATAGACTAGGAACCATGGAAGTGGTAAAAACTAAATATTCTAGGTTGGGTAGTGGTACAAACAAAATACTCTAGGTTGGGAAGTGGTACAAACAAAATATTCTAGGTTGGGAAGGGTATAAACTAAATATTCTAGTTTGGGAAGTGGTACAAACTAAATATTCTAGGTTGGGAAGTGGTACAAACTAAATATTCTAGGTTGGGAAGTGGTACAAACTAAATATTCTAGGTTGGGAAATAGTATAAACTAAATATTCTAGATTGGGAAGTGGTATGAACTCTTAATTTCAGGTTGGGAAGTGGTTTAAACTGTATATTCTAGGCGGGGAAGTGCTTTAAGCTGTTTATTTAGTTTAAGAAGTGGTATAAATTGTTTTATCTAGGTTGGGAAGCGGTTTAAACTGTTTATTTCAGTTAAGAAGTGGTATAAATTGAATTATCTAGGTTGGGAAGTGCTTTAAGCTGTTTATTCAGGTTGGGACGTGGTATAAACTGTATATTCTAGGTTGGGAAGTGCTTTAAGCTGTTTATTTAGGTTAACAAGTGGTATAACTTGTATTATCTAGGTTGGGAAGTACTTTAAGCTGTTTATTCAGGTTGGGAAGTGGTATAAATTGTATTTTTAGGTTGGGAAGTGGTATAAATTGTATTATCTAGGTTGGGAAGTGCTTTAAGCTGTTTATTCAGGTTGGGAAGTGGTATAAACTGTATATTTAGGTTGGGAAGTGGTATAAGCTGTATATTTAGGTTGGGAAGTGGTATAAATTGTATATTCTAGGTTGGGAAGTGCTTTAAGCTGTATATTTAGGTTGGGAAGTTGTATAAATTGTATATTCTAGGTTGGGAAGTGGATTCCAAGGATAATCACGCTATGGCGGATGTTATCAGTGTGTTCCAAGAATGTTTACTGGACCAGGTTAAACTTGAAATCGGACTCAGTAAGTTTTTCTTTTCATTTTTTCTTAAATCCACTTATTCAATATTCAATAATATCAAAACAGATTATTTTCTTCAGTTTTAGCTTCTATACTACTTACAATTGTCGTTTGTTTCCGATAAAAATAAAATATTTGTAAAAATCAACTTTTACTAACTTTAAAATTGCAAATAATTTCAGATCAAGAGGGATTGGAGTTCAGAACATGGGAAGAGGCTCTGCGACCAAACAAGGCAGGTTTTTAAAAAGTTTACACTGTTTTTCTTCCACCGAAACCGAACTTTTTCATAAGTGTTTTAATTATCCCATTCCCACTACCTTTTAAAATCAGAAATACTCCTGGGGATGTTAGACTTTATATCGCGAAAATACAGTAAATGAGGGATAAACAGAAATAAAATCATTTAAGTACTTTTATATTACTTTACATCCGATTTTTTTATAATTAGAAAGAACCCCAAATGTAATAGAGAAACCGACCGCTTAGCATTTCCATTCCTGTTGTTATTAAAATTCATTATTTACGAACACTCCCTTTAATAATTTTATTTGAAACTATTGGGAACTCGAGTCTAATTGAATATTTGGTACTCTCTGATATGTAACGTGTTTTCATTCCAACATAATAGTTTAAAAATGAAATACTTTTTTTAAAAGTTTAACATTTAATATTTGTTCTATTTAGTTGGTTGTTGAGAGTGTAACCCTGAACCAATGGTTGAATATGTGGGCTAAACTGTGTAATGGGTAGGAACATATTTTTAAACAATTTTTAAATGTTTTGGCTTTATCGATGGGCGGATTTTCAGTTAACTTATAATTTGGCAACCTGACAATTTGGCAACGAACTTTTCGGTCATACATAAAAACATACAAAGATGTTTACACTAACACATATTTTCTTGGTTAATATTTGAGGCTTTTAAACATGCGTCCAATTTCAGTAAACTAGCATTGCCAGTTTAAAACAAAAACATACGAGATTGCCAATATTCCTATATATATTGCCAATTTAAAACAAAAAATACGAGACTGCTAATATTCTTATATATATTGCAAATTTAAAACAAAAACATACGAGACTGCCAATATTACTATGTATTTATTTTGCCAATTTTTTGGGGTAACCAATAAAAGGTTGTTATAATCATAAATTACCTTAATTTTTTTCGTTGATTTAAATCTTTGATTTAAAGTAAAATGAAAAATGTGGTTTCAAAGATAATCTTGATAGTAAATATTGGTAAATGTAATTGTAAAGATAATAAACGTTGCTTTTGTTAGAAAACTATGGGAATTGACTAAGTCTTTGCCACAAAATCAAATTGTCGAACCCCTAAATCTTTGCAACCTTTGATATTTCACGCGTATGTTATTTGATCTGTCAGAATTATATTGTTTGAAATTTCCAAAGTTGCAAAGATATTAGGAATAGAAAATAAGAGTTTGTGTCAAATACTCAAATCCTTGTTCACTTTAACTAATGAAAATAAAAAAAAATAATAAATGATATGATTAGATCAAATCCAATATTTTGCAGGGCTGGTGGAATTCAAGATTTTCCTATCTGGGTTCAGCTTATTCCACAGGTAGAACATATTACAAGAAAGGGACTGTTAACGTATTGTTTTTTATTGAAGAATAAGAGTTCATTTTGAGCTTACCTTTATGTAAAAAAATTAGTAGAATTATCTTACATACGTTTTGTATTTAGAAAAATTATGAATTCATGTTTTCAAAGAAAGTGTGAATAGTCATGAGATTAAAAGACTGTTATGAAACAAAAACAAATCAATCTAAAAATATTTAAAAATAAATCTATTTTGTAGATCATGTTTGCAGTCCAGGTTGGACAGAACAAGGACAAAATTATCACCAAAGAGTGTCTCAGGAAAATACAGTTTTCAATAACTTACAAAATTTGTCAACTAAATGAACTTTCAGTTTAGATGTTTTTTTTACAATTGTTTCGTAATTTAAACAGAGCTCGGAACTTTGGTTGATATTAAACACTTGATCTCGATATCCAATTTGGGTATACTTTTAAATTTGAGAATCAATGCTTGATTTCTTAATAAAAGTTGTCCCTGCAGGTTATAACCATTACGGGATATCGAAGGAGATCAACGCCTGATCCCGAGATTGACAGTTCTGATATCCATCCGGCTCTTTCGCTCATAAATTTCTCGTTGATTTCTTGTCAAAAATAAAAAATAAAAACTGGTTTCTTCAGACATTTTTATGAGAACTTCTCAGGGCTAAAGGTAATTAAAATTAGTCTTATTATGGATTTACTTTGAATCAAATTCTAATTAAATGTAATTACCATGTTAACAAGCATTATAGGCATTAATATAAAGTAATGATGCTAATACTGTGCCAAAATCAACATTCTAAGAGAGCTTATTTGTTATACTGTTTTTTTTGTTACACATTAAAGTTATTCTTATTCTTATTGCTACACTTATTGCCACTGTTATTCATATTTTTATTGTTTTTCATAAACTTATAATTCTACTTACTGTTCTTGAAACACTTATCATTACTGTTATTCTAATTATTCTTTGTTCATGTTCATGTTTAAAATTCTATTTCAGGATAAACAACTGGAGAATCTAACAGAGGAAGGATACTCAACTATGACATCGGTAAGACTTTAACTAAAGGCGTAGGATTAAGAAATAATGAAAACTAAAAATCAGTGAAAAAAAGAACCATAATGCTTATTTCAAACTACTTTACATGGAAGTTAAGGGAACTTTACTTTACCGTGGGAACCAGCGGTTAACTAACATTTTTAATTTCAAGAAAAAGTAGTCATACACAATGTTATGGTATTTTGAGATGAAAATGCCCGAATTCTTCGCAGAGCGGGTTGTTATTTACTTAATTTTTATCACGGGACGTTAAGTAACTTGACCTCCCTCTGTTGGGGGAAGCATGGGTCGGTAATATTGGTGAAAATGTATTAAAATAACAAATTCTAATCCTATGGTTATACCATTTATAAACAGATTTCTCTCCCATGCACCTTTGAAGTTTGAAATTGTTGGTATCTTAATTACTAAATAGAAGTACAACTTTTTTTCAAAATTAGAATTTTTACTCTATTTACAAATCTGAAGCCCATAATACTTTTATCTTTATAATTAATTAAATTATATCTTATTTTATTATTTTTAGAACGGGGAGTATGAGTTGAATGCGGAGACGTATGATCTTCTGTTTGCAAATTTTCTACTCGGTCGAACCATTTATGGACCAGGTAATAAACCATTTGTGGATTAGATCTAAAACCATTTAGGGACCAGGTATTAAACCTTTTACGGACCAGGTATTAAACCATTAATGGCCCAGGTATTAAACGATTTCTGACCCAGGTATTAAACAATTTATGGCCCAGGTATTTCACCATTTATGGCCCAGTTATTAAACCAGTTATGGCACAGTTATTAAACCATTTATGGCCCAGGTATTAAAAATTTATGGCCCAGGTATTAAGCAATTTATGGACCGGGTATTAAACCATTTATGGACCAAGTATTAAACCATTAATGGCCAAGGTATTAAACGATTTATGGTCCAGGTATTAAACCATTTATGAACCAGGTATTAAACCATTTATGGACGAGATATTACACTATTTATGGACCAGGTATTGAACCATTTATGGCCCATCTATTAAACCATTATGGACCAGGCATAAAACCATTTATGGACCAGGTATTAAACGATTTCTGACCCATGTACTAAACAATGTATGAGTCAGGTATTGTACCATTTTTGAGCCCAGGTATCCAACCATTTATGACCTGGTTATCAAACCATTTATGGCCCAAGTAGTATAACATTTGTGGTCAAGGTATTGAACCATTTATGGGAAAGGTATTAAACCTTTCAAGGCCATGGTATTAAACTATTTATTTTTAAAGAATTACACTACATTATGCTTTATTAATATATTTATCTTCAATTTTCTGTTTATTTTTAGGGAAGTTCATTTTCGGATGTTTTGACAACAGTGATCTGCACAAGAAGTACAAGATACTTCCGGTTATGGCGTAAACCAATATATGAAACATCCAGAGATGCTCAATAAACATTTTTATGAATGTTACATTTAAAAAAAAAAATTTTAAAATTCATTATGCAATTAAGATAAAAATAAATATTATAATTTACAAAAAAAAATTTTGGTAATTTTGTAAAATGTTCATAAAATAAATAAATATTACAATTATAAATATGTGTGTTTTAATATATCTACTTAAAACGGATGATTTTACAGAAATCAAAATATAATATAAATGAAAACGATCAATATATATTGTCTTATGGTTTGTTTTTTCAGGATAAATAGCTTTCTCTGTTTTTTCCTTGAATTTTTTAACTCTCTTCAAACCTTTTATAAACCTGATGATTTCACAAAATCAAAATATAATTAAGAAGAAACGATCAGTGTGCAGAAATATATTGTCTTGATTTTTGCTTCAGAATAAATAGCTTTTTCTGTTTGTTTTTCTTCAAACCTTTTTAAACCTGTTTCCCCTTATTTCACAACTATAAACTTTTTTATGCGTGTAAATAGTATGGAAACCTTCTTTATATTCATCGGTTTTCAATTAACTATTGATCCGCCATGATCAAGCTTTTTTTTCTTACTTTAGTAAAATCAATATTTTGTTTAGATTTGGAAAACTTTTTCAAGCAAAAATTACATGTCAAAAAGTAGACAAGTTTTATCTTTAAATATGACAAGTTAAAGCTATTCGGAATAAAGCAAGCTAAAAAATATCTAATAGCGTTTACTAAAATTGAATTATTAAAGAAAAACTAAAATATCCTAAAGGATGATTAAAAAGATAAATCGTCATATTTCATTAAACTAAAGAAAGGCGTTTAACAACGTATCTACAGACAAAGTAACTGATGGCTCGTTAAGAAGTTTAATTTTCTGATCTAGTTGTTTTACTTTTCTATTTCTGTCTGTTAACATTCTAATGAATGTAAACCTCATATACAGTGGTAGGCGATTATATCAATACAATGAAGACGATACGACTTTCGATTCCAATTTTGATTGATATCAACAGCATACATAAACATTAAAAATCGAGAGAAGCTGTCAATTTAAAAAGCTTCACTTTGATTACTAGTAAAATTGTACTTTAAAAAAAGCGTGTTAACAACCAACACAATTCTAACGATAAAAGAGTTGTCTTCATTGTGTTGATATAATCCTACCACTGTATTATTATTATCACATGATTATATTCCACAAAACTCCTAGTTTGAAATACGGATACAAAATAAAGGTTGCTGCTGAGACATAGGCATTAGAATTTTGAGTTTAAATCCCTAGAATTAAAGAGATGTTTTTTACATTATGCAGTGTTTAACTCAACCCTCCAAAGCTTAACTTTCGAGAACAAATAACAATTTAAATTCATGCAGCGTTCACCAACTGAATTTAACTACTAGCTATAAATTCTTGGAAATATTAGGGAAGCATTTCATATATTCCACTATCTAGGTTTGTACACAGTTATACACGATTCACTGGAGATAGATAGAACTTTTTAGGTTGAATTGTTTGATTCATGTTCGCCGTATTTAAGTTAGCAATTAAAAATGCAAAAAAATGAATTTAAACAAATTTTTCTTTAGAAAATTTATTTAATTTAATCTTTCTTGTTCTTTTATATTTTCTGTCAGGAGAAAGCTTTTTTTTATTCCAGAAGCTAATCTTAGATTTATAAATAATAAATTCTGAATCTTCTACCCTAGGTTTTCTAGGGGGAATTCATGAAATATATTATGCTGAAAAGAAGATTAAAAAGTTGATGTCCTTTAACTTTTTTTTGAAATCTGCAGTCAGAACTTTTGTGTTGTGAATATCAGGATCCAGCATTTTCTCTCCATCTTACGGATTAGTTTAATCAAATTCAAATTGCATAAACCGAAACTACACCAAGCTCTGATATCAAAATTTAGTTTGGCTAGTAATAATCTTTAACGCTTGATCTCATAATCCAATACTTTACAATTTTAGAATCAATGCTTGATCAATAAAAATTTTATCTTTGCATTTTGCAATGAAATACCACTATCGCAGATAAAATAAATTAATCCTGAATGACATGGAGATCAATAATACTTAACCCCGAGATTTACTTTACGAACATTTTGACTTCAGGAAATTTCTGGGTGATATAGATTATTTACTATTTAAAAGATCTGTGGCCGAATTTAAAGAATTTGAGCGACGGTTTAAATTTAAGCCACAGTTTAAATATGGTTGTTTCACCTTAAAATTGTATCAAATGTTTCAAGATTTAAGCCGGCACTTAATTTAAACCGGGTTTTGGCGGATTTAAACCGCGGCTCAAATTCTTTAAATTCCATCTCTGATCACTGAAAAATAACTATAAAATTTCATACTTAAGTTCTTCCTTAAGTTTGAAAAAATAAATTGATTAGAATTTACGGGGAACATGTCAAAATTTAAATAGAAAATAAATTCTGTTCTCTAACATTATAATATTTTTTATCAGTAAAAATATATTAAATGACTAGATTAATACAAATTAAAAAAAAAGAAAAAAAATCAGGGTTTTTTTCAACTTCACCAAAAAACATTAAATATTTATTGAAATTTTAACATTTGTTTTGTTGGCCTTTTTATTTTTGACTTTTCTAGAAGAAACAAAGCGTTGAGAAACTTAACCTTAAAACAAGAAAGAATAGGTTTTTAAAACTCAAATAAACCCCCATTCTCCTTCGCTTTCTAAATTACCCTATCCTGTATACTGTATATAGAAAAAAGTTGCTTGGATTGTAAAAAATAAAAAAGTCAACATTAAACTTTTAATTGGTAATAATTGTTTCATTAAGTTTTTAGTGTTCAATATCTCTCATGTTTAGGTTCAGGAAACCCACTTTCTACCTCCTTCAAACTCAGCTGGTCATCCTGAAATAATGATTATTATAATGATGATGATGATTAAAGAATAATTAGAGTCTGGGAAGTATTCATTGGAGTTCTATGGGAAAGCCCTTATATTGTAGATCCCATGGACATCTCATTGGAGTCTCCCTTATTCTTATTGGAGACCTCCAGATTTTAATCGGAGACCCCTAAATTTTCATATAAAGCCCCAGACTTTCTTCGGAGACTCCAAGCTTTACATCAGAGACTTTAAGCTTTTCATCGAAGACCCCAGATTTCCATGGCAGATCCCCAGATTATTATTGGAGACCACAAACTTTTTAATGTAGACTCCAGATTTTCGTTGGAGACTCCAAGATTTTTTTTGGAGACCCCAAGCTTTTCATTGGAGACCCCAGTATGGAGTCCACAAGATTTGCATTTGAGACCCCCAGATCTTAAATGAAGACCCTAAGATTTCCATTAAAGACCCCCAATAGTTTCCAATGCTACTCCAATGATGAATATTTCTTTCCAGACTTGATTAATGATAGTAATAATAATAATAATTAAAATGATGATAACAATGATAGCATTGACAACAATGATAACAATGAGGAAAATGATAATAATGATACCTGCAGATGATAAGATCCTGATTCTGAATATTTGCAGTATAAAAGTACTCCTATAGATAAACTAACTAGGAGTAGGACTCCAACGAGTGTAGTTCCAACCACCTCCACCTTCCACTCCCCACTCCTAGAAATTCAAAAAGATCCGAATTGAATTGAATTGAATTGAATTGAATTGAAATGAATTGAATTGAATTGAATTGAATTGAATTGAATTGAATTGATTTGAATTGAATTGAATTGAATTGAATTGAATTGAATTGAATTGAATTGAATTGAATGAAATTGAATGGAATTGTGGAATTGAATGGAATTGAATGGAATTGAATGGAATTGAATGGAATTGAATGGAATTGAACGAAATTGAATGGAATTGAATTATTATTGATGTATGTGCTTAACGCTGCCGGAAGTCAATCTAAATGAATTGATAGGTTCAAACAAAATAGGAATGAATATCAGTTTTCATCTTTATTTGAAATTGTACATTTCTTATACTTTATCATCATAAAAAAAAGATGTAAAAGTAAATTTTTACTAAAAGCATCAATAAACTCTTTATAGTATTATCAGGGGTCTTGGTTAAAGGTCAGTGAACCTTAATTTTAGAACCTTTAGAACCCATTTTCAACCGTTACATAAAGATTTTTTTTTTTTTTTTTTTTGACTTTTTATTTTGAATAGTATGTTTTAGATATTTTTCGACGGATTTTAAATTAGTTATAAAAAAAGACTTTAAAAATGTCTAAACAGACAGGATTTACTTTGTTGCTCAGTATTATGGTGTATTTTCTAGATATATAAAAATTTCCTAACCTTTCAATATCAGGTTGTGTGAGATGGCTGTGTGTAAATGTTAGCGCATTTTTTACATCTTCTCCTCCATACTGTAGAAGGAAATCTATAGATATACAGTGCTCCAGACTCTCAGACCAGACGTTGCCCCTTAATAGTAAATATTCGAAATTCAAACTTCTTTTTTTTTATCCATATCGTAGACCTGATATATTTCAAACTATGAATTCTGATAGATCAAATTGCAAAGTTCATATCATTTGTTAAAAATAATATCAAGTTAGTAATAATAAAAAGCATTGAAAAAGAAGGTATTTTTGTTGTGCATGGTTACAAAAAAAATGATGTTTATTAGATTTTTAAAAACCGCAAAGTGGTTGTTTTCTTACTTTAGAGAATAATGCTACGTCTTGTAAAGAGATTTCATTCCCCTTTAAACAATGCTTAAACATTTCCCTACAATCTATGTTTTGTATAGTTCGCAAACTTTTCCAAAAGTTTAAATATCTGTTAGATCTTTTACACTTCGATAAATTCTGACAAATTCTATCAAAATCTTTATAAAAGAAAGTTTACATAATTTCACTCCCCCCCCTCTTTACTTTTCACTCTTTCACCTTCCTTCTCAATTAACTTATAAAGTTTCTTAATGACAAATAAAGTAATTAAAGAACTTCAGACAGAGTGGGACACCCTTCACATTCAATTCATTTATTTATTTATATTTCTTTTTTGTTTCCTATTCATTATTGATTTCTTCATCCTTTATTGATATTGTTTCATTTTCTTTTCTGTAGTCAAAAAAAAATTACATGGAAAAAAAACCTATTATAGTTATAGTCATTATTAAGAAAAATAGAGTCAATTGATTTTTATTTCTAACCAATTATTAATAATTCTATAAATGAATATACGAACTCATTTTCTCTTTGGATAAAGATATTTTGATTATGGGACATTTTAAAGAAAGGGAATTTTGTAGACAGGACTTTTTATAGAGGACATTTCGTAGATAGACATTTTATAGAAGGCATTTCGTAGATAAGACATTTTATAGAAGGCATTTCGTAGATAACATTTTATAGAAGGCATTTCGTAGATAAGACATTTTATAGAAGGCATTTCGTAGATAAGACATTTTATAGAAGATATTTCGTAGATAAGACATTTTATAGAAGACATTTCGTAGATAGACATTTTATAGAAGGCATTTCGTAGATAAGACATTTTATAGAAGGCATTTCGTAGATAGACATTTTATAGAAGACATTTCGTAGATAGACATTTTATAGAAGGCATTTCGTATATAGACATTTTATAGAAGGGATTTCGTAGATAAGACATTTTTTAGAAGGCATTTCGTAGATAAGACATTTTATAGAAGGCATTTCGTTGATAAGACATTTTATAGAAGGCATTTCGTAGATAGACATTTTATAGAAGACATTTCGTAGATAAGACATTTTATAAAAGGCATTTCGTAGATAAGCCATTTTATAGAAGGCATTTCGATAAGACATTTTATAGAAGGCATTTCGTAGATAGACATTTTATAGAAGACATTTCGTAGATAAGACATTTTATAAAAGGCATTTCGTAGATAAGCCATTTTATAGAAGGCATTTCGTAGATAGACATTTTATAGAAGGCATTTCGTTGATAAGACATTTTATAGAAGACATTTCGTAGATAGACATTTTATAGAAGGCATTTCGTTGATAAGACATTTTATAGAAGACATTTCGTAGATAGACATTTTATAGAAGGCATTTCGTTGATAAGACATTTTATAGAAGACATTTCGTAAGTAAAACATTTTATAGAAGTCATTTCGTTTTAGACAGGAAATATATTGGCGCACAGATAAGAATAAGATATATAAAATAAAGAAAGATGATGTTTTGTGCCTTAGCCAAAAAAAAATACTTTAAAGGGAGTGACCGGCAATGCATGGTAGTTTAGCTGAGAATGTATATAGTATTGGGAAGACATTTTTTAGGATTCATTTGAGACATATAAAACGTTTTAATGGTGTATTACTGAGTTTGAGTGCAAAGTCGACGTTCAAAATTATCCATTTGAGTTGTTACGTTTTGAGAAAATTATTAAATAACGACGACAACAAATGTAAAAACCAATTAGATGTTTAGGATCTAATTTCTCAATATAAATTTTCTCAATTAATTAATGTTAAAATTAATTATTTATTCTTCATCATTACATTGAATTTCTTTTTCTTTATGAATTTGTTTGCAGATTTCTTCAAATTATTTAAATGTTGTCTTTTAAATAAAAGTTCCAGGAAATCAACAAAAAATGTTTTGAACAATGAGACATTAGATAAACCAATAACTGAATAAGATTACTTATTTTCGATGATGACAGTCAATTTTCATTTTCTAAACCTGTTTCTTCACAATACTACGTACTCAGTTCAACTACCATACATTGCCGGTCCGTCGCTTTAATACTGTTATACTTTCCTTAACATTTCAGCGTTCGTTTTGTTTTAGGGTCATCCATGTATAATCAAACTATGCTAAAGATTATTTATGATGGTTAATGGTTACAATATCAATATAATTATTTTCGGTGTAATGGCACTTTCCCAAATGCATTTTCCCAAGGGTGACTTCCCAAGTGGCAATTTCCAAAGCGGCAACTTCCCAAAGGTTAGGTTAGACCTTCTGAGGCACCGCAGACTGCAATGGGGGCAGAGCGCTCAGTCTAGAACATCTTATTTTTTCCATATAACAGTGTTATAGATGCAAAACATTAAAACTCAGACTGTCTATATGTATGTTGAAAAAAGAATTGCACATGATAAGGGAAGGGTGATAAAATCGCAAATTACGATTTTTGCTATTTTTTCCTAAAAAAGTCGAACCGCTCTTCTTAAAGTTTCGCAACCGAGGTAAAAACATTTCCATGGTTTCCGTGGTTCTCTCGAGTTCCCCATTTAAAATTTGAGGCAAATCTGGCAATTGGTTCTTGAGTTATGATCGGACATACAAACAAACAGAGATTACAACTTTATATTTATAGATTTTTATTCGAGGGTGTTTACTTACTAATGTAATATAAATAAAAAAATTTCCTGTTTAAACGAACACTGGTTCACGACTTAATAATATATTCATTCATAGTTAATTTTGTTTCATTAGCAAATTAGCAAGATCAATAGTAATTAAGTTTGTTTTGGTTAATCTTAATATTTAAAGGTTTCTAATGAACCTAACAACTTATTGTACAAATGTTTAATTTTGTAAATACAGAGAGAGACAAAAAGATAATTAAAGAAAATATAAAATATTTTTCTGGAAATCTTTTAGTGAAAAAAATGTAGAATGTCTTGGCTTTTGATTTACCAATATCACGATTGCGTTGAGAGTATCCCCCCTCCCCCCACCCCCCCCAAGGTTTTAATCAATTAACTCAAAAACTATTTGAGATAGAATGCTCAAACACCTAGATTTTTCCAACTTAATAGATGAATGTCTGCTGTTTCAACAAAAAAATCGAAAACAGTCTAAAACTTTTATTATATGAATTACAGATCTAAAATTAACTTAATTTTAAAATCAATACTTGCAAAAAGATGTTGGAACACTACTTTTTTAACCATTTTCCGACGTACTATATTAATTTTTTAAGCCTACCTGCATGGAACCCCTTAACCATTACAATTTAGAGGTCTACGTTTTTAAATGACCCTGCCTTGAAAAGTTGGACTAGGGACAAAATAGACCAAAATAGCCCAATCGGGGCTAACTAACTGATATTAAAAAAAAATACAAAATAAGAAATATTTACCTGCACTGCACAGTTTTAACTGTTGCAAGACTAGATTTAAATACGTGACCCTAGAACAATAAAAACCGGTTTTAGGCTAGATAATTTTTTTTTGGTTAAGATCAAATCGTTAGAAAAAATACCTAATCAATTAAATTCACAAACGTTACAATCGTTTAACATTCCGTTAAAACAAATAAATTATTTGAATTTGAGTCTCATCTATCAATACCGGTCCATATCAACATTCAACATATTTTTCAGAATTGAAATATCAACCTCCTTAATAAATGGTTTTGGATTTGTTTCTAAGTTTCTAACTGAATGCAATTTTTGATAAAATATTCCTAATGTTGCTTTTAATTAGCCAAACCTGGTGCAAGATGGATTAGACATTTGCAATGGACAAAAAGTACATTTTCTTAACAATTCATTTAACTCTAACAATTTATTGAACTCTAACAATTCATTGAACTCTAACAATTCATTGAACTCTAACAATTCATTGAACTCTAACAATTCATCCAACTCTAACAATTCATTGAACTCTAACAATTCATTGAACTCTAACAATTCAT